CCCCACGGGACCAGCTTTCTTCAAGAACCAGCAGAACACTCCTGTTGCTATAGGAACAACAGAGCTGTGATCACCAAGGTCTTCGTATAATTCACATACCATGCTTACTAGCCGCACAGCTTCCATTTACAGATTTGCCAGAGCAGCGACTTAAGAAAGCCAAGTGCTAGCCTACCGTTTAGAAATGTAAGTAACTGGGAAACAGGAAATAGGTTTTTTTATGCAGAGGATGCTTCTGTGCATGTAACTTCCCAAGAGGCATTTCGTTTGCATTAAAAATATGTGAGAAAGCCTTAATTTCATAATTTCAAGCTCAAGAAACCTAATGAGTCTGAGCTGCGTTAGTTCTTGGTGCAATGCAGGGAAGACGACTAATATGTTAATATCTCAAAACAGCTCATGATTACATCCACTCCCTAGCATATACACTGGTTGAAGAGAGATGCCTTTGGGTTCCTCAGGTATTCTTGAAGCCATAAAACCAAAACAAGACACCACCCACAGATGTCAGCTAAGAAGGTCCCTAAGTAAAGAAAAATGTCCTTATATTTTGCACTTTCGTATAGATGTTAACAACATTACAGCAACGACTGAAAAATAAAATGGTTATAAAAAATGTAAGCATGACATTCATGGTTTAATCTCTTAATACTAAATTTAAGTATTAAATACTTCAGCTTAGAGTTTTATAACTGTTGTTCAGGCTTGGGTTACTGAGCTCTCATCCCCTCTGCTAGCAGTTCACATTCCAATGGATAATAAAGTATTTTTAATACATCAGATAAGCCTCGTAACTGCCACAGAGGCAACAAGACTGTCAGGATCACCTGAAGAAGAGAATGGGTGAACAGGCCAATACGTTAATAAAAGTGGCTAAAATACCAAGCTACGTACAGAATCGAGACACCTGAATTGCGTAAACATTCCTTGCTCTTGGTGGACTGTAGCCAGTGTTAGGGAGACAGCACCTCTAGAGAAGTGTATCAAAGTCAACACACTGAGGGACTAAGCACTTCCTGAGATTCTGGAATACACTGAAAGGAAAGGGCAAATAGGGCTGTAAAAAAAAAAAAAAAGACTATTTTACTATTTTAAGACTGGAGCACATGTTCTGGCCATTCAAGATCCCTTGACAGATCTGTTGCTCTAGTATAGGTTGTGGCTATGAATGTAAAGAGTTTAGAACAGATCCTAGAAAGATTTGCACTAATTTCAATTTGGTATCTGCTACAGCACATCAGAGAGTCCTGGACATATGTCGTTACTACCCGATTTGCACAACAATATTCAGTAATGCAACTGGAATACCTTTGAACTTCCTGGCAAGAAACAAGATTCAATTCAACAGTATACAACGTAGATGCTTCGAAAGTGAAGGTGTTCCAAATGTACACTTCAAAGGTAAAAGCAGATTTGTAAACAATCCTAAAGCACAGTGATTTCGTATGTCTGAACTGACTAATTCCTTTTAAAAGCAAGATAGGAAATTAAAAGACAAAGAGTTTGATTTCTCCTCTTCCTATAAAAATCAGTACAAACTGAAAGGGAGTCTTCAGGCTTGTTTAAAAGTTACAGAGGTGTTCCAAGACGCTTCTTGATCAAAATTAGCAATTAACTTCTATTGCTGAACTCTAAGACAGTAAGCAGAGTATCATGGAGGAACTTGAAATGTCAGAGATATTGTTATTAATAGTGGCTCACTGAAGGTTTATGGCACAAGCACTTTAATTCAGCAGGGACGAGGGTAAACTTCTTTCTTCAATGCACTGTCACATTGCTGCAAATATATATTGGACACATAGGGTGCAGTGACTCCCTGTGGTCAAACAAATGGACTCAACAAAGAAGTTGACTACCAGAGACCATAGTAGGGAGCACCATACAGTGATAAGCTCAGCAGTCTTACCTCAGGTAATTCCCAGGCCACCAGCCAGCTGTTCTAAGACAGCATTTCATAGATGCACAGCAAAGAAAAGCATAAAAATTGTAATAGAGACTGTGATACACTTACAAAATTCTGGACCATCCATCCTCTATACTCAAAAAAACCCCAAACTAACCCAACAAACCAAACCAAATGACCTTCCTGTAATTCTTAAGTCGGACTACAGCATATTTAAATGACACACAAAAATTGGCATGTCTATAACAAAGCCTTTAGAGTGCTAAGGCCAAGAATGTCATTCCCTTTTTTGGACCGAAATGAGGGTATGAAATCAGCTTTCTGTCTTTTGTGTGCCTGCGGGAGGAAAATGACCCTAAAGATGGGTCTGGGACAAGTTAGGCTGAGAGCAATCTGTCCTACTATTGGAAGAAAAGATTGTGAAAACAACTGACATACTAACTCTTTGTACGTTAAATAACACACATTTTAGTTGTTGTGTAAGGCAAGTTGCATAAAGGGAAAAAAAAAATATCCTCCAGAGGAGATTCAATGAAAACAGCAGAAAAGTAGGGAGGAAAATTCCTTTAAGCGTTCTTGAAGAACACAAATACTAAAAGTACCTCAGCATGTGGACTTGGGACAGGTTTTTTCCGTGCAAGATAATGCCATCTAGTGGAGATGGAATCTCCCTTAAGATGGCAAATTGGACACCTATAAAATTTATATTCTCTATTTCCAATATTTTCATAATCGGCCCTTCGTGTTTCACCAAAATCAGGATATAGCAAAAGGTAGACACAGATGGCAATGACTGCTGCTGTGTGACCACCACACCTAAGAGCAAACAACAACATTACCATCACTGACTGTTAGAAATCTGGAAAGATTTCTAAGGAAAACAAAGTCCTGAGCAATACATTATAGTTGCTTACGTCTATACAGCATACTACAGCTTCATCCTTCTCCAAAGGAAAAAGTATTTGGCTATGTTTCCCGATTTTCATTTGTTCTTCATGCTATTCACTACTTAATTTGGAGAGATGGCATATCTGAATATCGAAAGAACCAACATCCTTTCCCACTTCTCTAAATATTTTAACTATTTTCTCTCTTTGTTCTTTTTTCCCCTATCAAGAAAAATCTTAATGGTCAGGCCACCAGTTTAATTATAATTCAGGAGGATCGAAGATAGATTTTGGGGTCAAATCACCCAGAAGTGTCTCAGATTAGATCAAAGCAAGCATCAACATGGAGGACTTCGCTTCCCTATGGACAAATATTTAAGAACCTTCAAGGACTTCAAGAAAATCATGACAGAGAAATCTCTTAGCATATGTTCAAATATGGGACAAAAAACCCTTTTTGAACAACGTACGAAGCTCTTACATTTCCCGTATTGCATTAGTGAGTCTAGAAGCAGACTTCAGTAACTGTTGGTCTCTCTTTTGATTACGCTTAAAAGTTATGTCAAAATTCAATTTTTTGAGTCTCCAAAGCCCTCCGCAAAGTAAGAAAATAGAATTTTACAGATAATAAAACCAGACAGTTTAGAAAAGAAACTTAGATCAAGCTGTGCAGGAGCACAGCTGTACAAAATATCTGGATCCCCTGGCTGGACTTCTGTTTTTATTATCTCTTCCTTGCCAAAGTGCAGGTAATTCAGCATTTATTTTCCTTGTGAGAAGTGTAACTACTTCAGGGGTAATGCTGAAAAATGCCAACTGCAACTAAGACAGTCTTTCTTAACTGAATATATCTACCTCAGCTTTCGATGAGAAAGAGGCAAATTTTCACCTTAGACTGGCAGAAAAACTTTAGAATTCTGAGCCAAAACATATAATTCTATCTATCTCCACCAATCCCCCAGCTATGTGAGGAATGAATACGCAGGCTTAAAACTGAAGAGCAAGTTTGTGCAGGTTACGTTTCTAATGGTTTTCTAAATGTCTTAGATCTATATTCAATTTCTGCTCAACTCAGTTCTTTCTGGCATACGAGTCTTACAGCTTTCCTTCAATACCAAATTCCACATGACGAATGTGATCTGGCACGAGGCTTATCAAAGGGAGAAAAAAAAAATTCAGAAACACACATTCAGGTTCAGAAGACATCAGTAGATTCAGAGTAGCACCACACAATTGTTTACCAAGACTTCTGCAAAGAATTCACAAAAGCAGTACATACTTCATCCCCTTAGCAGGAATCTAAACAAACCAAAGCAGATTTGTAAATTTAATTCATGTCTACTACGCCTGTCTGGAAATTCGTTACATTGTGCAAATTAAAGAAATGCAATGGGAAAAAAATTCCTTCTATTGCTAAACTTTCCCTCTTACTCTGCTGAAACAGCAACATTGCACTTCCACATTCATCGAAATGCGACAAACAAAAGATGTCGTTAGATGATTACATTTTATTTTGTGAGAAAAGTGTTATCAAGCAACTAGAGTCATAGTAACTACATTATCATACATGCATAACAAATTACTTTTGTACCTTAGAAAGCTCTATCTACTTTACATTTTTTGTCCTAAAACTCCCAGATTGAAGCATACAAAGAAAGCGTTTGCCATCCACAGGCTTGTTCCTTTCTAAGCACAGATGTCCAGTTTAAGAATAAATACAAAAATTCAGATGAAAATCACCTTATGCAGAGGATCCATACTGAATACAGTAAGACACACTCAGAACTAGAGGGACCTATGCATGCCTGAACTTCACTTACAGCAAAAGAAATCAATCAGGTTAAAATTTATTTCTTTTTAATGTATTACATTGCATAGGAAGCTATACACATGCATTTAGTTCACAGGACTCTGGCCATCAGTTTTGGGTTATCATGGAGAATAAGATGTTTTAACAATGTTCTTCATCCTAGTGAATCTTGAGCATAGCCAAGACTGACTTCACCTGTTAAAATAACATCACCTGTTGAACAGTACACTCTAGTTCTCTGCCAAAGATTACAGCAGGCAATAACTTGCATATCCCAGATTGAATGATGGGTTTAAGTAGGTGGCATATTAATACAGAAATACAGGAACCTAAATTTGGTATTTTCTGAGACTGTTCTCACAGATTTAACAAACACAAAGCAAACAAATCCAGTACTCACCCTGATCAATTGAGTGTTGAGGAAGCTGGCTAAGTTGGCTATTCACGACACCTGCGTACGTGCGCAGGAATTCTTCTTCACTAGCGGTCAGCTGGAAACGTAGAAAGAGTCAGTCAGCAAAAAGGAAAATGAAGAAAGTGTGAAGATATTATCTCCCACTTCCCAAAAAGAAACGTCACAGTTGCCTCTACTCTACTCCACCAGTTTAATCAACCGTTATCTGTGCAAACTATACCATCAGCAAAGGACACAGCAGCAAACTGGTAGGAGAGATTCAAAGTCACCTTAAAGCAGGTGCTTTATTTTGCTGGTTTTCCAATAACGAAAAAACTTTACTATATATAGAGAAATGATCAGATGCTCAGGTTTAGTTTCAGGCATCGTAAGACCCATAATATTTAAGCAAAAATCAATTGTGTTTAACTGCAGATAACGGTTAAACCAATGACAGCTAAAACTATTCAATGATAAAACCAGACCATCACCTGCCCGTCTCAGTAAGCACTATCCCAGTTACTACAAAATTGCCTGGAAAGCCACAAAACTTGGGCTATGACAGCGCATCTTACATTTGATCCCATCTTCCTCAGCATGAGTAGGACTCTCACTTTCTGCTGAATATACATCTCCTCCGGACTCTTTCCGGGGACGCCCTCACGGTTCATTCCCCTCCTGCCAGCTCCTGGATTTCCTGAAGATTTAAAATTAGCAAAAGACAAACTAAAATAGGTAATGGGGTATAATAAGAATAATAGGAAAAGTTTAATTTCCAAACTACCTATTTTTCACCAGTGGGCAGACTGCTTAATAGCCTGGGAGAACAAGGAATCACATGCTTCAGAGAAATCCTTAAAAATTTGAACAGCTCAGTTGGGCCTTACATATGCAACACAAATATTCAAAGAGGCTGATGTTCACATCCTTACTAGCTCATTATCTGTTGTTGCATTACTGCATGAGTAGAGAGAATTCTAACAACTAGATGAAAGAATCACCCTGACAGAAGAGTCGGTGGTTTTGTTTTTTTCCCATAAATATGCACAACCAGTATGAAAACAGGATGCAGAATGCACAGCCATCAAGCCTGCAATGGCTAAACAAAAGCTGGATGAAATCTAAACTCTTAAGTCTTTCTCCTCTCTTTTCTTTTTTGTTATCATTTAGTTAATAAAATTTATTAAATGGTTTCAGAGAGAAAGAAGAGGAGCTAAGAGGAGCACGGAAGGAGTAGAGTTTATGATCCTTTCTTGTATCATTTAAAAGCTCAAGTTTTGCTCTTCTATTTTAATAAAAAATAATTACATTATGGAATAAATAGACTATGCTATCTAAATTCTATAGCGCAGAGCATGATTACACTTTCTTGTCTGAGCATTTGGTAATTATTTAAGATCCACAACAGGGTGCTTACCAAGACAAAAAGAGTTCCAGCATACTCTTCAGCTGCTACTAAAAATTACCTCAGAGCATGTTTATTAGCAGTAGTAAAACCCTTAACTTCCAATTTAGAAAATAATGGTGCTTCAAATAATACAGCAGCATAACAAACTAAACGAACCTCTTAGAAGTACTGTGCGTCGGAGAAACGTAACGCCCGCTTAGGAACCTGCGGATGAAGGTGCAAAGCCAGCCACTCTTCCACCACGCACAGCTCAGCGAAGTGGCTCCAGAACAGTTCTCTCTGTTTTCAGTCACAGAACTGGGTCTGGTCCTACACTAAGCCATAAATCCGCTTTCCCGAACCTTAGTAACCAAAGGAATGATACACTACACGAGGCACGCTTAGTGAAGACTCAGTATCACAGCAGGTTCTAACACAGTTTTCCACGTAACGTTTTCCTGTAGTCACTACCAACCTCTCCCCCCACTTCATTTTCATTATTACTTTTAAGGGAAAGTAATCTGGGCGTGGAAACAGTTTAAAATTACACATAGGCCCTCCTGAGTGAGTCAGAAGTAATGCAAACTTAAGTAGCAGCTGCTGGGATCGGCTTTACCACCCACATTACTTAGCATGAAGAGAACAGTACTAAGAAGTGGAGAAAGCTCTACCACCCGTCCTCCCTGAGTAAGCCTCCGGTGGGAAGGTTTGCATTCTGCCGATTTGCTGTAGAGGGTTCTGCTTGGAAACTTGCAGCCTGTGAACGTGCAAGGTGACCATATTTTTTTGCTTTAATCAGCAAACAGCTTTCTGAAGGGGGAATAAAACACCACCATATTTTTGTGTAGTGTTAACTCAAATAAGTAGATTGGGTTACGTTACTAAGCATATACTCCGCAGTGCAATTTAGTGAGTGCAAACAAGTAATGTCAATAGTAAGACAATGAACAAAATAAGACAATGAATAAGAGACATTAAGTTGCACGTATCCAGAGACTGATAAAAAAATAAATGTTTATCAAGATACCAAGTAAATCTGAAAGGTTGTGACTGGTCCTGAATATTAAATACCTACTTTTTTTAAAAAAACTCTTTTTTAAAATATTGTTACTTGAAAAGGGAAGGTGCTGTACTAGTAGCCAAAGAAATTAATTTGGAAAAGAAAAAGCACATCAACAGAAACCTGAAATGTGGTAACACACCCATCATTTAAAAATGGAACAAATTATATGGGATTATCTATCAATAGGTGGCACCATATACAAGCACCAAGAAAATGCCACAGCTGCCCCCATGCCAGCTAGGGAGACCACATTTCAGCATTCCTCTACACATCAGATATAACAAGAGGTTTTTAGTCTACACATGTAATTATTCACTATTTTCCATCATAATTGTATTCCAGTTGTTTATTAATTTTTCAAACTTCAAAAAGGGGTGATGGAAATTCCTATCTAAATCTGGTTCTTCTAAAATAAACTTCAGCTAAGATGGATTTATCATGAAGCTACCTATTTAACAGGAAAGATAAAAACAATAAAGCCTGCCCATTCAGCAAATGCTTCACAAAGTTACTAAGCAACAAGGGGGAAAAAACACTCACCATGTCTCAAAAGCTATCAAACCATATGTATAAACAGGTTAAATTAAGATCACAGAGCAATGGTGCTTTGCCCTTAATACACCGTGCAATTATTTTGTGTGCTAGGCACAGCCAACTCAGCTTTTCCTACTTGGTGACATCAAAGGAGAGAGACAAAAGTCTTAAGATGAGACCCCAGCATGAAAAACTTTAACATCTCTCTGTTCCTGTTACATACTGCTTTTATAAGACACTGGTTAGGATGACAATACTACCCAGCATATATTACATCAGTAAACTTCCACAACCACTTACAAAGTTAGTTATGCCCAGAAGACAGCACAATCCATCTTTACGAATAAAGGATAGAAAAATCTTATTAAAGTACTTATCAACTTTGCTTTCTCAAGAAAGCTACATTAACATGCTTTACATAATGAAACACTACTTAAGCAGAATTTCCCTAACCCTACAATTCTTTCTGGTACGTAGATAAAGTCATCCCCCCGTGCCCAACCAATAAAACACCAGAGAATTCTCTGCCGACGTACCTGCTTCTAAAAACCACAGAAGATCAGATAACCCACGTGTTCAGTCCCAATTAATGATTGTAGCTGGAAAAAATGTATGAGGAAACTGCCCTGTGAAAACAAACGAGCAAAGCATTACTACAGAAATATACAAAGCTGGAAACCCAAAAGACCCTTCATTCAATAGGCTTTGAATCAGTTTGCTTTAGAACCTGGTCTAGCCAAAATTCATAAAACTGTAGGCTTGCCAGGAGTTTGTAAATCCTTTTTATTTTTGAAGAATAAGTTTTTTAAAGCTCAAGCCATTCTTCATCTGCAAGATTTACACCCTGGCCATACCAATGACATTCCCAATCACTTGAGAATGGAATGCATTCAAGTTTTACATTCTTTAAGAAGCTTTCAAATAAAACCCAACTCCCTGGAAAAACCAATAAGCATCATGACATGTAATTTCTTCTAGTAAAAAAAAAAATAAATAGGCGTAGCTTACCAAAGTTTTGCGGAAAACTAGGGAGAAATGTAAAGCATGCTGATTTTGACCAAAATTATTGTTTTCAACTATGCATATGTTATCTGAATATAGCAATTATGAAGACTGGCACTTGAAAGTTGGGCTGGAAAACCCTTGGCCAGAAGTTTTCAGACCAACCTCATTGTTCAGTCACCAACAGCTAACAGTTATAGTCTTTTTTTTTTTTTTTAGACTCATGACATATTTCTGAACATATTTTACAACTGACACGGGGTATCAAGGCACGCTAAGAATTTATAACTCTTCCCATCGATCACATTAGCCTCTAAGCAAGCAGCTCAATCTCACAAATGAAGTAGCAATTCAATCCCTCTGTAATATGCAATGAAATACCAAGTGCCTGCTACTCAGGACAGCATCACAGCTAGAATCACGTAAGCATAAGTTGCTGTACTTAGTTCAGAGTTTCTGATTACGGAAGATATCATACCTGCACCATTTGTTAATAAAGTCCAGCTTAATTTTTTTTTCCTAGGGGTTGGGGTGGGTGGGTGGTCAAGCAGTGAAGGCAGATCTCTACTAATTCGATTTCTTCCATGGCTGTTCACCACCCCATGCACAAATCATTACCAGCAGGGAAACAAGACAGGAGTAGCTACAGCTACTCAACTGTTCTGCACACCACAGGTATCAGAGAAATGCTGAATCCACAATACCTGCTAGCTTCACCCATAGTATAAGAAACACTGTAGAGAACCTAACAACTGTTGGAAGCAGCTGAGCTTTATCAATGGCTTGAATCATTTCACCTCCCCAGAGGAGAGGAATTGCCTGCTCTGAAAGGATTATTTAAGCCCTACCTCACTAATTAGTTCCCACTGTTCTTGCATGCAGTCCCAAGAAAGATTATCTACAGCACTGACAACAGGACCATTTGCAGTAACTAATTGCTGTTCTCATTTCTATGGACTTCAAAGACACACACCACCCCTGTACAAATACTCACCACACAACTGCGTGAACTCCCTCCTAAAGAAAAGGATTAGAGCACGGGAAGTAACCACTTTGGAGACACACTTATGTCCTACTGACAGTAACAGCATATTTATAGCAACCATTAAAATTCCCTGTGCACACCCCAAATTGCAAGTAATAATCATCTATGCATTTGTTATATTTATCACCAAAAGCAAACGAGAGATCAAATGTTTTCCTAACCCTATAAATTCACAAGAATTCAGCTGAGAACCGACCCAGCCACCAGAGACAGGCCATTTTCACGACCAGCCAGAAGGCTTGTATCATAGTTTCTCTTTCATAGTTTCTCTTTCAAGCAAAGGTCTCGTCCCTCTCCAAGGCAGCAGCAGCACCCAAAACATGCCGTCTTTGTCTGATCCACATGGCTGACCCCCGCTGAACTCACCTCACCACTGTCACAAACACATGGGTGGAACATCAAGCTTGCACACCACAACTTGAATACTGTTCTGCTAAACCGTAGGGCACATCCTCTGAATAAGAAGCACTTTTACTGCTAAAGGCTCCAAAAATGACTTGAGTAAATAAAAAAGATGAGGTTTCATTACTTTTTCTTAAAAGTATGACAACAAAGTAAGACTAAAAGGCCTGTTGACCACTCCAAAGGCACACAACGGTTCTCCTGCCAACTTGTTCCCAACTATTCTAAATGGCAGCCCACACTTCCAACGTTTTCAACTACATATCAACATTTCCACATTCATCTCTAACGAACCCTAAGAAATAAGATCTAAAAATATTTTGCAACAGTGTATTTTGGGGGTGGGAGGGAAGTAGTGCAAAATCTGAGAAAGAGTTTAGCAAGACAGCTGAGGAACAGCTGAATCACTACCAACACGAGTTCTGCTCACAATCTAAGAGTCCCAACAGACCTGTGAGCTACACAACGATCCATCCCTGAAGCATTTTTCAGGTCAGGTAATTCTTTGCCTCAGTTGCAATTACCAGCTCTGAATTCTGCTTCTTGGCTCACCTATATCCACCTTCTACTCCTGCAGGGTCAGAACACTGTTTATTTTGCCGATGCTCAGTTCCAATTTTTTGTCTCTCTCTAAACAAGTGGTGACTGCCTCACTTAATCTATTAATGCTGCAGGACTCGGGTAGGTCCGTACCACTTCATCCTCACGTGAGCCTCTCCACACTTAGGCAGGTACTACACACAACTGCTTGGGCTCATCACACCACTCAGTGCTTCTACCACGGAAAGCAAGATTCAGATTTTCTCCTGGTCACGAGGTTCTGTCGAAGCTTAATTCATACCATGTACTCCCATGAGTATGAGGGGGAAAAAAAAAGTAACCGAACATTTTCCAACTTAGGTGTCACTAGAATACAAGAACATAAAACCATTTCTCAAACTTACAATCAAAATTCTTCTTGCCCCAATGGGCTCACATTCCAGCTAGGATTTAAGAACAGATAAAACCATGCAAAGTCCTTTACCATGGAAATAAAATGAAAACTGTTCTAAGCACAAAGACTCCAGTTTCGATTCCACCCTTACCCTTCTGTCCTAAATAAGTCTACTTACAAGGGCTTACTTGGGTCAGAGATTGCTACAAAGAGTATTTTTTAACATACAGAAAAACTTGAAAGCAGTGAAGTAATGTTTACAAGTTCAGAGACGCCCATATGGGTGATGGAAAAAGGTCAAAGTCTTAGCTTTAGGTCCTATCACTGAACAGATCGTGCTGCCTCCCCAAACATCGCTAGCTTAAATGAGTTTTTAAGCTAAAACGTAAGGCACACTAATTGAAAAGAAACATGTTTTTGAAGAACATGTCACTGAATTACAACAGCATAGGGAAGCTGAACGAGCAGCAGGATACAGTATGCCAAATGCAGCATGCTGGCAGTTGAGTATCAGCTGATCAGCAAAGATAAAAACAAATTTTGCAAATGCCGTACATCATAGACTTTTATCAACAGCACTAATGAATCCTGGTGTTTATAGTTAAAACACAAAATTACTTTAATGACCTATTCTTGCCAGATACATTATGTTGCATATTAGAAACATGCTCTGAAATACAATATTTCAATCTCTATTTTCAGCACAAAAAGCCAGATAGGGAGATAGAAAAACAAGAACCACCGTGTACTGGACTGAAAGAACCCCCACAGCATTAACAGAACTCAACTGGAAAGCTGTTCGTTCACAAGAATCAATAGCCAAAGCTATTCAGAAGCCCAGTTACACGTTCCCTGATACTTACTGGCCTAAGGGAAGAAATACTGGGGTCTCAGCTGAAATGTTGGTAATCGTATCCTGAATTACTAGCACTAAAGGAAGAGATGCCAAAGGCTGATGAAGCCATGCAGAATGCACTGTTCTATCAAGTCTGGAACCAGTCTCTTCAGGTAAGGGTGAGGCAGATGTGCAAAGCCAACAGGAACATTTGGGCTGCCAATACCTTATCTATTTTGCAGCTAAGCACGGTTCTACTTTCCAATGCCATTATTCACTTCCTTTCTCATGAAAAATACTAACCTGTGCATTTCCAAAGCTGTAGTTTTATTCTGAAATGATTACATTCTTTACTAAACTGCGTTAAAAGACTAAAATCCTACAAGCTTGTCCTGCTGCATCCAACACACTGCAAATGGACATAATTGGGTCACCTAATTTTCCCTTGTTTGGCAGGCATAGGGAATGAAATTTAGTTCTTATTCATTTTTAATATGATTCACAAGACAGAATAATAAATGAGAAAGATCTATATATTACAGCCAAAACAGCCAGCCCAGCTTTGCCAAAGCAATAAATTTGAGCTTAAAAACATTCCCTCCCTTTCCCAGGCAGTAAACGAGGTTGGTCAGCAAACAAATGGAAAAGCTGTCCGGTTCTACAGCGCTTCATTCCCCATGCTGCCTGCAGAAGGGCTGGGTGAGGATCACAGGAATGCCTTCTGCTTTGCAAGGCCCAACATGTGGACTGGGCAGAGTCAAGCACGCCTGACATCCCTGTTCCGATCCCTGTCTGTCTGCCTACCAAACCGACCTCTTTGGCTGTAGAAAGAGTATGTGCAATCCCATCCCCTTGGCAAAAGAAAGTGGAAGTCTCATCCTCATGCAAAACACTACAGATTGAAGTTACACTTCCTAGCAAGGCAGTAAGGTAGAGATGAGAGTAAACTGGACATGGTTTTGGAACCAGAAGATGTAGGTGTGTCTACACCAAAAAACCGCTGCGCTACTTTCTAAGTATGTCACCAAAGTAGAAGGGGATTAAGTATTTTTAACTTTTCCACTAGCATTAAGAGATGCTTCCCTACCTCTCCACATTGCTACTTATCCTGAAAATCTGTAATGAAAACACAATATAATCCTCCCCAAAAATGAGCTAAGACTGTACCAGATTTCTCTTCATTTACTGACCCTGGGCACAGCAGTACATAATGAAAAGGTATTGCCTTTGCAGTTAGCCACCCACCCCTTTTTTTTCCTAACTAGATTTACAACATCAGCTACCATGTTTTCACTTGAAAAAAACCCCATAGACAGGAGAAATCTGTACTCAAACTCCGTTAACTA